AATTACATCAAAACAATCCAAGTTCTACATTCCATTTTATGGTCAAACTTACGCACCCATGACTCAGACAACATCAAATCAACAAATTTCAACGTTCTCAAATACCTTTTAGCAAAGAGTTCGTGTAATTTTAATAAGATTTTTGGGTAGTATCAATCCTCATCTACTTTCCTTAACGTGTACTATGAGACGCTTAACTCACGCCAAATGGCCCTCGTAATGCAAATTCGATAGCTAACTTGGTTGGATGCTTCTTAAGGTGCAGTATTGGTCATCTAACCCGCTCAAAGTTACCTTGTTCCTTTAAGATGCTCGTTTAATTCTAGTTCACTCAGCACACTCTCTCTCTTCCCCTTAAAGTACACATTTAGTTTTAACTCATCGACACTCTCTCTTCTAAACCCTTTTGATGCCTAAGCCGAAACACACCTTAAAATGCTCTTTCGATGCCTAAATCACTCGAATCCATTTTGATATGAGCCATTTAACGAAGGTTTCAAGTCATCCATGTTAGAAAGGATGCAGCTCATAAATGGTTGACCAAACTAGAGCTTTATTTTTCGCGTAAAATGTTCTTGATTTGGAGGAATGAGAATGTGGTAACGCTAATCTTAAAATAAAACACTATATCATAATTGTTGCATCAGGGGTGGATTTGATGGGAGTCCCACATCGATTGGAAAAAAGAACGAGTGCCAGCAAGGACGTAGGGCCCTGAAGGGGGTGGATTGTGATATTTCACGTTGGTTGGGGAGGAGAACGAAACACCCTTTAAGAGTGTGGAAACCTTTCCCTAGAAGACGCGTTTTAAAGCCTTAAGGGGAAGCCCGAAAGGGAAAGCCATCGGCTAGCGGTGTGCTTGGGCCGTTACACTATCATTAGGTATCATATCACTTCCTACACTTTTTGGTGTTAGTGTCAAGGTCATGCTCGTCCAGGGCTGTTGCCCATGGCCGCATGACCATGACAAGCCAAACCCTTGCATGTCTTTTCATTCTAGTGTTTTTACTTTTGTAGTTCTAGGGCATATGACGCCTCAAAAATATCATGTCTAGGCTTGCCAGACATGAAATGACTCAGAATGTACTATAAGGGGATATGACTAGTTGTCAACTTCTCCCTACCCAAGGTTATATATTGTATGCCGTTGTTATCTCTCTCTTGCTTGCTTATATAACGTCTCTTTCTAAAATCTCTCTCTGCCCTCGTTTTTTAAAATCGAGGCTAGAGGCTCGATCATACGTCGCTTGGCCATAGGCGCCGCAAGAACAAATTGGCTTAGCTCACTTTGTTGTTGGAAAGTGAGTGTCGCACAATCGCTAGTCCGCTACCTTCAAAAGTGCAATTGTGTCAAGTGGTATCAGAGCTTTGTTAGCTCCGTGATATAGCAAAGACCGAAAACATCGGAGACAAAGTCAACACCCAAAGCACAAGCCGACCGGCTTACGCTAATAGAGGAGGAAATGCTGTTCTTTAAAGAAGTCCCTGACACCCTCCGCTTCCTGGAAGCACGGGTGACCGAATTGAGTGAGAAAGTTGTAGAAATCGACCCAATGGGAAACCGCCTGGATGGGTTGCCAATCGCAGAATTGATGTTTCGAGTGACCTCGCTCGAAGAAAGAGTTGCTCCTACGAGCAGCCCAAAACCGTCTGGTAGTTCGGATAGCTCTATCGCGCACAAAGAGGGACGTGGCGAAGAGTTGGACGTGCTACAAAATACAGTGATGAGCTTGTTCAATGGATTAGCTGATGAATTCAGAACAACAATCGACGACATCCAAGAAAGGATGGCCACCATGAGCACTCGAATTGAAGTGACCATGAAAGTCGTGGAGAACATCACAACTGGGCAAACTAATGCAGGATCCAACAAACTGAGATTCCCAAACCCTAGAGCCTTCAAAAGGAATCGGGACGCCAAGGAGTTGGAAAACTTCATCTTTGATGTCGAACAGTACTTCAAAGCCACAACGGCTTGTACCGACGATAAGAAGGTGACCGTAGCCTCGATGTATCTCATAGACGACGCCAAACTTTGGTGGCGTACGAAGGTGCAAGACATCGAGGATGGATTGTGCACCATCGACACGTGGGAAGACCTCAAGAAAGAGTTGAGGGACCAATTCCTCCCTGAAAACGCAGAACATATGGCAATGGAGAAACTAGTAGCCCTGAAACATACTGGAGGCATACGAGACTATGTCAGACAGTTCTCAACCCTGATGCTAGATATCAGGGGCACATCAAAGAAGGACAAGGTGTTCTTCTTTATAAATGGGTTACAGCCGTGGGCCAAAACAAAGCTACATGAGAACAAGGTCCAAACCCATGCTGCCGCAATGGCCTGAGCCGAGAGACTCTTAGACTATGCGAACGAAGCGGGATCCCAAAGGAGAACGACACCAGCCCCAAACACTGGGGGCAAAACATACAAGCCACCAGGTCATCGAAATGGAAGCCCCAACAGACCGAACGTAGGTAACGACAGACCAAGCGGATGGACGGATAGACCTCCTCATAACAACCAAGCGGGGACATCCCGAGGACCTTACCATCAAAAGAACCACCTGACGACACCTCTACAATGCATACTGTGTAAAGGTCCCCACAAAGTATCCTACTGTCCTCATCGGGCCTCTCTCACTACGCTCCAAGTGTCCATTAAAGAGAGCAATGACGCCAGGGTCGAGACTATGCTAGACAAGAAGGAAGATCAAGACAACCCCCGAATGGGCGCGCTCAAATTCTTGTCAGCCCTCCAACGGAAGGTCGAACCGAAGGAGATAATAAATAAAGGGCTCATGTTTGTAGATGCGACAATAAATTCTCGACCGAGCAAGAGCACTCTGATAGATTCAGGAGCGACCCACAACTTCATCGCCGATCAAGAAGCCCGAAGATTGGGACTCACCATAGGAAAGGACCCTGGGAAAATGAAAGTTGTCAACTTTGAGGCCTTGCCTATTGTGGGAGTTTCCAAAAGAGTCCCCTTCAAAATAGGGGATTGAACAGGAGAGCTAGACCTTGTCGTAGTTCGCATGGACGACTTTGACGTGGTACTTGAGATGGAGTTCCTCCTAGAACACAAAGTTATCCCAATGTCACTGGCAAAATGCTTAGTGATCACCGACCACAACCCCACAATAATACCTGCAAGCATCAAGCAACCAGGTAATCTTCGAATGATCTCGACCATACAATTGAAAAGAGGACTCGCACGAGAGGAACCTACAATTATGGCCATACCATTGATGGAAGAAGCGATCACCGAAGAAACTGTCCCAAATGAAATCAAGGAGGTACTAAACAGTTATGCCGACATAATGCCAGAGAGCTTACCCCAAACATTACCACCTTGTCGAGGCATTGATCACGAAATCGAACTCCTCCCCAGGGTTAAGCCGCCAGCGAAGAACGCATACCGGATGGCTCCGCCCGAGCTAGCCAATTTGAGGAAACAACTGGATGAGTTGTTGACGGCGGGATTCATCCGCCCGACGAAGTCACCTTACGGAGCCCCCGTACTATTCCAGAAGAAGAAGGATGGGACGTTGCGTCTGTGCATAGACTATAGAGCCTTAAACAAGGTGACGGTACGCAACAAATATCCACTGCCGATAATATCCGACTTGTTCGACCAACTTCACGGGGCCAAATACTTTACGAAGTTGGACTTACGATCAGGGTATTACCAAGTACGTATTGCCGAGGGGGACAAGAGATCAAGTCCTCATCAAGCTGAAACTAGAACAGATCAGATTTCGCAGTCGAAAGGACCAAAGACTAGTTCGAAAATATGAAGGCCCGGTTGAAGTCCTTAAAAAGATCGGGGATACCTCATACCGAGTTGCACTACCCGCATGGATGAAAATCCACCTAGTAATTCATGTGAGCAACTTGAAGCCCTACTACCCCGACCCAGACGACGACCAACGAAATGCAATCACGAGACCGGACATCGATCTGGACCAAAAAGAAACCAAAGAAGTAGAGGAGATCCTAGCCGACAAGGCTAGAAAGATAGGAAGACCTGTATGGATGATTCGTGAATTTCTTGTCAAATGGAAGAATCTCCCTACAGAGGAAACCAGCTGGGAATGCGCCGAAGATCTGAACTCTGCCACCACCCACATCGCAAGGTTTGAAAGTAGTCGGTTGACAGGGACGTCAACCAATTTGGTGGGGGAGGATGTCACGGTCATGCTCGTCCAGGGCGTGTTGCCCATGGCCGCATGACCATGACAAGCCAAACCCTTGTCATGTCTTTTCATTCTAGTGTTTTTACTTTTGTAGTTCTAGGGCGTATGACGCCTCAAAAATATCATGTCTAGGCCTGCCAGACATGAAATGCTTCAAAATGTACTACGGGGGGATATAACTAGTTGTCAACTTCTCCCTACCCAAGGTTATATATTGTATGCCGTTGTTATCTCTCTCTTGCTTGCTTATATAACTGTCTCTTTCTAAAACCTCTCTTTCTAAAATCTCTCTGCCCTAGTTTTCTAAACTCTTCTTTTAAAACCGAGGCTAGAGGCTCGATCATACGTTGCTTGGCCGTAGGCGACGCAAGAACAAATTGGCTTAACTCACTTATCGTTGGAAAGTGAGTGCCGCACAATCGCTAGTCCGCTGCCTTCAAAAGTGCGATTGTGTCATCTAGCACACCCTAAGTGCCCTTTAGCTCACCCGAAATCCCTCTATCCCGTGTGGAGATTAACTCCTTTATAAACACCCTTGAATCTAAACCGTCTTTTATACACCCGACCTGAATATAATTAAACAGATTAAGATATTATATATTCGACGACAATATACCGACCAAATTTTAACGGTTAAAAGATCACATCGAAACGAAACCCAACTTCCAATCAAAGAATGGGAAGTATGTGGAACCATGACCCAAAAAGTTAACAGAGTTGGGTCCCCATTGGGCCTCTAAGGTCCCACTAGAAATCACCTGAGTAGAGCCTAAGCCTTGTGGCTTGGGCATCTGCCGCCATTGGTCTTTATGCTTTCCTTGTCGCCTTGCTCTGTTTCTTTTGTTCTTCGAATGCCCTGACGACAGCTCTGCTTCCTCCATTTTTCGACTACCTCTTGGAATCAACTACTGTTCCACTCTCCCGTGCCTCCACGTGATCATTTTCCATGATTCTTCTTCTTCTTCTTCTTCATGAACAAGCAATACAATCCAGTTTTGATTTCCACTTTGCAGGATTTGTTCGATTCCTTGCTGTTCCGAAGCGCCTGTTGCCTTTTTTTGCTCTGTTGGATACCTCACCTCATTTCTTTGATTCTTACAGGTGCATTTATTTACATGTCTTTTAAACCTTCGATGATAGCCCACCATCCGCAAATCCAACAGTGATTTTCGATGATTCACTTGGAGAGAGTGAGCTTTACTGTTGGTATGAGCTGCTAAATTTAGTATGGATATGATTTGTTCTTTGTTTTGGTTTTAAATTTTATGTTAATGGAATTCGATGGTGGGAGACAGAAAGTGAAAAGGGGGTTCCCCTGTTCTTTCTCTGTCTCGAGGTGTTTTCTTCTTCTCTCTCTTGCGATTTTCTCCCTTCTGTTTAGCTTCTAAGAGGTATCTGTTCGTCTGCCTTGTGCCGATTCCTGGTTTTTTTGTTTATTTATTTATTCTGATGTAAATCAATTCAGTTTGTACTTCTATTTGTTTTCTGACCTGTTTGTTTTATTTGTTCATTGTGAGCAATGTACATTGAATAGTTCTATGGAACTTCTGTTTGGTGGACACTTAAAATGATGCTTTTCGATTCATTTTCTATATTCTTTCCCTGGTGTATTTGGTTAGCCAAGTTTGATATACCTCTCGCTATCCCTTTGACTTCAGTTCATGAAAAATTTAATAATTTGTGCTAGATTAGCCAAATAGTCGCTTCAATTTTCTCGTCATTTGATTTCCCTGTTTGTAGGAAATTCTTTTTTATATAATGGGGTTCATCACAGTTGGAATGTTAGTAATTACGTTCTTCTCCTATTGCAGTTTGTTGTGTTCTTTTATATTGGAGGCAGGGCAGGACTTTTGATTCAATAGTGTTTGTATGAGTGCATGGATTTTCTAAAATGGAAGAATCATTTCTTGACCTTAACCATCCCTACTGCTGTTCATTTTCTTTTTCTATTGGTCCCCCCCTGCCTTCAAACAAAGTGCAGCGACTAGGGATTAGGTCGATCGAGGGACATCTTCTTTGCAGCCTCTCCTAGATATATATTTATTCATTATAGATTGTGATTTTGTGAGCTCTCAGAGTAGAGATTTTACAGTTAATATGGCATATGGATGATGGTAGTAATTTCCATAATTTAAGGTTTAATTTAAATTAAGGTCATGAAAGAACTTACAAATCTTGAAAGTAATACATCGAATGTTAATGCAGGGGGTGCAAAAGAAAATTTTACATTATTTCGTGCTTGATTATCTACTTCTCCAAGCCATTGCGTTCCATTCAGAAAATTATGGAACTGCTAACTGTTGATTTTATTGTCGTTTCTCTTGTCTTAATAAGAACTCTTGGCTATGTGCGTGATGTATGTACCATTTTTTCTGTTCCAATATTTTGCACCAAGATGCAGCCACCTACTCTCAACGTTATATGGTGATGGGCATTAGAAATTACACCGTAAATTTTTGTTGGCAAATGGGGGTTTATTGTGGTGGAGATAATTAAAGGTCTGTTGAAAGCCAGGTTTAAAAACGATTTTCTCTTTTTAAAAATTAAAAAACAGTTTTTGATTTATACATCTTGTTTGGTAGAAAATTTTTAAAAACAGTTGTAAGAACAAAACTCTTTCTTATAATTTGTACGCAAAGCAATTTTTTGGAAACAACTTTGTAAAAATACTCCCAAAAAACCTTTGAGATGGTGACGGTGAAAGTGAACACTTCCATTTGATTGTCGTATTTTACATTTTTGAGGTCTTACTTGCCCTTATTTGTGACGATTTTTAATGTATTTCAGAGCTGCCAAAGTGGATCCAAGCATAGATGAAAGTCATGGATGTCACAATTAGGAAAGCATGACCAGTGCTCATGGAAGATATCCAAGGGTAATTTTTGTCCTTAACTGAGTGAATCTCTCTTCTCCATTCTGTACCTTTCAACACTGTCATGCACCTGCACACATGGTCATTTAACCTCCGTGTACATATTTGAAGAGCATTTATTTTTTCAGGCTTACCGAGAATGTGCTCTCAAATGGAGATGTATATATTGGAAATTTTAAAGATGGGCTGCCACATGGGAAGGGAAAGTACACTTGGTTTGAAGGAACGATTTATGAGGGTGATTGGGAAGATGGAAAGATGGCAGGTAAGGGAAAGATTATCTGGCCATCAGGAGCAAAATATGAGGGTGATATCTCTGATGGTTCTCTCCATGGTTTTGGCACCTTCAACTATTCTGGTGGATCTATCTATAGCGGAGCTTGGAGGATGAATATTCATCATGGGATAGGACGAAAGATATATACTAATTTAGACAGTTATGAAGGTTCTTGGAAAGAAGGTAAACCTGAAGGTTGTGGTAGACACTTCTGGAGTTCTGGAAATTCTTATATTGGGAACTGGAAGGGTGGGCAAATTTGTGGTAAAGGGATTATGAAATGGGTAAATGGTGATTATTTCATTGGGTTTTGGTTGAATGGATTTAGACATGGATCTGGAGTCTATCATTTTGCTGATGGTGCATATTACTTTGGATCATGGAGTAAAGGTCTCAAGGATGGAAAAGGAACATTTTATCCAGCTGGAAGCAAACCACCATCACTGGAGAAGTGGCATAACTTTCTTGGCTATGATATTGATGGAAAAGGTTTTTTATCTCGTACGCTTTCACTAAATTCAGAGAAAGAAAAAGCTCTCAGGCGTGGTCTTAAACACAGCTTTTCAGAGAGGATTTCTCACACTGGAATTTCAAATCCAGGAGGACTATCAAATTGGCCTACATGGATGGATGAAAATTGGGGATTAAGTGATCCAAGTCGAGAACCATCAGGTGATAAATATTCTCATGTTGTGTCACATACCTCAGATCAAGGTCAACATAATGTGTTGCCACATAATGATAGAATGGCTTATGAAAGGGAATACATGCAAGGAGTCTTGATACAAGAGAGGGTTAAGGACTACAAAAAACTACTGCACAGAAGCAAGAAACAGAAGAAAACGACAGTCAAAGAAGCGAAGAAGGTGTCATGTGTTAACTTCTCTGAAAGTCATCGCAGCTTCTATTTAATGCTAAATTTGCAACTTGGTATAAGGTAAATCTGTTAATTTTATGACTATTTAGGTTAACTTTGTTACTTTGTATGGCTCTAATATGGAGATATCATCGTGAAGAAAATGCCTTGTAGAGAAAACTTATAAAAGCTAAATAAACTCCTACATCATGTACTAAATCGACCCCTTCCATCTTTTGCAAAGGGGCCATGTAAGTACATAAAAAAGCACCAAAACCTCATTACCAACCGAATCCACCATAGGGTGGGTGGTGGAGGAAAAACATCTTTGTGGACTAACCCTTGGATTGAAAACACCATGCTAGTCTTACAGTATTCACTTTTGTATAGACTTTTTCATAGCCAAGTGATCACGATCAAAGAAACATAGAATGATGACCCCAATTTTATTGTCTAAAGAAGCATACTCATTGACATGACTTTCTAATGCTAATGCTGACCGTCTCTCGAAAATCTTTGACGATGGACATGAGGAAAAGATAGAAGCAATAAACCCCATGCTAGGAAAGACAATACTGAAAGGAAATCACCTTTAAAAGGTGAAAGTTTTTCGGTTGGGAAATAGCACATAAAGCCATTAGAACACGTGAAAATCTACAAAAAAAAAAAAAAAAAAAAAAAAAAAAAAAAAAAAAAAAAAAAAAAAAAAAAAAAAAAAAAAAAAAAAAAAAAAAAAAANAAAAGAAAAAGAAAAAAGAAAAAAGAATCTCCATGTGACTCTATTTCCAAATTAGTGTCTATATGTAAGAAAGAAAACGATTCACAAAACCACTTATTTATGCATTGCACATACGCTCAGAATTTATGGGCAAGGATTTTCAATATTTTTGGATGACATCTCACTTTTCCCAGGGAGGTAAAGGATTTGTTGGTCATGGTCACAATGTACCACCCCTTCAAAAATGAAAATACCCTACCATGGAAAAACCTCATCATGACTTTCTTTTGGAATATATGGAAAGAAAAACATCAACTGACTTCTACAAAATTCTTTGACGATGTTGTTTACCACGCTATATCTTGATGTAAATTGTCTAATATTTTTTCTTCCTATAGCCATATCTTTGTAAATTGGTAGGGTCTTTTCTAAACATCATGGATAATACATCCTTTTGGAAATTTCAAACATCAATGAAGTTGTCTCTTAAAAAAAAAAAAAAAAAAAAAAATATATATATATATATATATATATACACACACACAACTTTACTAAATAGAATGAGAATGATTCTCCCATATTTGGTCTTACAATACTATCAACACTCATCTTCTCTGCTTTGTCACAACTGTGACAAGTGTGTTTAACAGTATCAAAATTTTCCTAATGCGCCTCTAGCTTATCAATTAACATTGGCTAAGTACCAGGATTCTGGCATTAAATTTCTGGCGCAGTATGTAACCTTTCTTGATGCCGATTTTCTTGAGATAATTTTAAATGAGTTTTCTGAGTTGTTGATATAATGGTATGAGTTGGCAGTGCTTACTCCTTGAGAACAAAAGTTGAAGGTGGTTCTTTTTGGAATATTTCATTATTCAAATGATTTTCTCTCAAATTCAGGGATTAATATCTTTCCCAAATGAAAAAATAATGCTAACTAAAGATCCTAATTGGAAATAATGCTTCCTAAAGGTTGTCTGGAACTTATTTTTAGGCCTGTTCACGAGGACTAAACTGAATTAAATAATAATGCTTACTAATTATTCTACTTGAAGTTTTCAGGTATTCTGTTGGTAAGCTTACTCCAGTTCCTATGCGTGAAGTTCGATCTTCTGATTTTGAAAGACGGGCTAGAATGGTGATGTACTTCCCTCGAAAGGGCTCTCAGTTTACGCCTTCACACTATTCTGTCGACTTTTGTTGGAAAGACTATTGTCCTATTGTTTTCAGGTAGTAATGATCTACTTCACATCGTTTATTTATTTAGTAAAAAATTTCTATAAAAGATTATGCATTAAAATCTCTGGATATACTTCTGATTGCTAAGTTACCCACCAATAACATAATGATGTTGTTCTTTCTCCTATTTCTGGCATACTAGATCCCGAGGTTGGATGACATACTGTTCATTTTTTCAATATGCTTCGACTCACAGACTACTTTTAAGCGTGGAAGAAAACAAACAGTTCAATTATTATAGATTTCTATAATTCTTTTCTACAAGCACTGTATTTTCTCTCCTTTGTTGTAGTTTAAAGATCTTTTAAATTAGACAGATAATTTTAGAAAGGAACTGTACTATACAATTTAAATAAGAAAGTAATACATAAGATTTCCATTTTCCTTTCTTCTAATTTGATAATATGAGAAACAGGAATTGTTTGACTTGTTTTTCACAAAAGCTCTGACGGGTTGTTTGGGGGAAGGGTTGGGCTTAGGTAGCCTAAAGGGTTAGGTAACTTGTTTATACAAAAGCTCGTAGATATAGCCTATAAATTTATTACCCCAATAAATACAATGATTTTTTTGCAATAACATAGAGCCTTATGATTCGGAAGTAAGAATAATTGTTTTCCCCTTTTTTCTACTCCATTGAATGGACGTTATCGAAAGAAATAAATGATTTCCTCTAATTGCAGAGATGAACACTGTTCTGTTAAGCACTGTCATAAGCCCTATTCTCTAGGACCAAGACCTATTCTCAAGGTCTTAGCTAATATTTGAAAGTCTGTTAGTTTATATTTAGGTTTAGTAGAAGGCTATATAATGCCATTCTTTCTGCTGTTGAAATCATCAAGCTTTGTGTGCAATATTGTATGCCTTGAGTAAATTTGGTGTTGTGAGTACATTTGTTCCGCTTTCGGCGCACAACAAGTGGTATCAGAGCCAAGTTGTGGTATTTTGGGGTATTGTGAAAGCTTGGGCCTCATCGACCATTAGACGTGCTCACAATCGTGTTTATTCTCTTGAAAATCAATTTTCAAGAATTGTGGTTTTGAGTTTCATCCAGATTAATTATTGCAAATGGCAGAACCATCACGACGTGGATCGAGAGTGTGGAGTTCCAATCTCGAAGTAGAGAAATTTGATGGAACCAATAATTTTGGTGTTTGGCGAGGCGAAGTTAGCGATTTGTTGGTCATGCAAGACCTCGATGTCTCTCTCCAAAAGGAAATGCCTGAAGACATGACAGAAGCAGAATGGACGAAATTAAATCGGCAAGCCTGTGGAATTATTCGATCCTGTCTTGGCAAGGATCAGAAATATCCATTTATGAAGGTTACCATGGCGAAAGAATTATGGGACAAGCTTGAAGCGAAATATATGAAGAAGAGTGTGGAAAATAAACTCTATTTGAAGAAGAAACTCTTCCGTTTTGATTACAAGGAAGGCATCTCAATGGCTGAGCATTTGGATGATTTTAACAAAATCATCACTGATTTGCTCAATCTTGATGTTAAGATTGATGACGAGGACAAGGCGTTGTTGTTATTAAACTCTTTGCCGGAATCCTACGAGTTTTTAGTAACGACCCTACTACATGGAATCACTAATATTGATTTTGAAGATGTTTCAAATGCCTTAATAAACAATGAGATGCGAAAGAAGGAAAAGGAGACGTATCAAAGCTCTAGCTCAAATGTTCTCACTGCTCATGGAAGGACTTCCAATTGGAAAAAGAACGAATGTGGAGAGTCTCGATTAAAGTCGAGAGGTAGATCTGATAATTGGAGAAAACTTGATAAAAATGAGTGTGCATATTGTCGACAGAAAGGTCATTGGAAAAAAGATTGTTCGATCTTAAAAGAGAAGGGGTCGAAGTCCAATGTGGTTAGAGATGACGACACTGATACAGATGATGCCTTGACAATCTCCCTATCAGTCAGCCAAACCAGTGAATGGATTCTTGATTCTGGGTGCTCCTATCATATGTGTCCCAACAAAGAGATGTTTTTGGACTTCAAAGAGTTCAATGGTGAAGTTGTCTATATGGGAAATGATAGTACTTGTAAGATAATGGGAATCGGCTCAGTACAAATCAAGATGTTTGATGGGGCTATACGAAAACTCAAAGATGTGAGGTATGTCCCTGACTTGAAGAAAAATTTGATTTCACTTGGCGTTTTGGATGCGAGTGGTTATCGCATCATTTTGGAAGGAGGGAATTTGAAAGTAGCTCGTGGAGCTTTGGTGGCAATTACAGGAACTAGAAGAGGTAGCATATACTACCTCAACGGAACCACAATAATTGGGCATGCTGCTGTGGCAAGTTCGAAAGAACAAGACATATCGAAATTATGGCACATGCGACTCGGGCATGCTGGTGAGAAGGCGCTTCAGACACTGGTGAAACAAGGAGTCCTTAAGGGTGCCACAACTGGAAGAATTGATTTCTGTGAACATTGTATATTTGGCAAACAAAAAAATGTGAAGTTTGGTACAGCTATACACCAAACAAAGGGCATTTTGGATTATGTTCACACTGATGTATGGGGTCCCACAAAGAATGTCTCATTGGGAGGAAAGAGGTGGTTCGTCACCTTTATTGATGACTACTCGAAGAGAGTTTGGATGTATCCCATGAGGCACAAAAACGAGGTTCTCCAAATCTTCCTAGAGTGGAAGAAAATGGTAGAGAATCAGACGGACAGGAAAATCAAAAGGCTGAGATCAGACAACGGGGGAGAATATACTTATGATCCATTCCTTAAAGTATGCCGAGATGAAGGGATCGTTCGACACTTCACTGTTCCTGGTAAGCCACAACAAAATGGAGTTGCTGAGAGAATGAACCAGACATTAATAGAGAAGGTTCGATGCATATTGTCTCAAGCAGGATTGAGTAAGGCATTTTGGGCTGAGGCTCTCAGTTATGCAGTTCACTTGGTGAATCGTTTACCTGTTTCTGGAAACGGTGGGAGAACTCCGCTTGAGGTATGGTCAGGTAGTCCTGTTAGTGATTATGATAAATTGCATGTGTTTGGGTGTCCTGCTTATTATCATGTGACAGACTCAAAGCTGGATCCTAGAGCAAAAAAAGCCAAGTTTATGGGCTTTAGCAAAGGTGTGAAGGGCTATAGGTTATGGTGTCCAGAAACAAGTAAGATTGTTAATAGTCGAGATGTGACATTCGATGAGTCTGGAATGTTTTTGCAGAAAATTGAAAATAATGACGAGGCATTGAAGCAGGTGGAGAAGGTGGTGTTCTCTCCTGATGTGGTTGCTCCTACTGAAGAACCTATTGACCAGGTAAATAATAACTTTGATGTCTTAGAACAGAAAGAGCAAAGTCTTGAGGAGCAAAGCCTTGTAAATGAAAGAGTGGAGGAACCTGAGTCAATCGCCAAGAATAGACCACGAAGGGTAATTCGAAAACCTGCAAGGTTTGATGATACGATAGCATATGCTTTCTCTTTGATTGATGGAGTTCCTAACAGTTACAAAGATGCTATTCAGAGCCCGGATAGCTTACACTGGCAAGAGGCTGTGAATCAGGAGATAGCATCATTGGAGATAAATCAAACTTGGGATTTGGTACAACTTCCAAAAGGTAAGAAGGAAATTGGTTGTAAATGGGTTTTTGCAAAAAAGGAAGACCCTTTTGGTATACGTTATAAGGCTCGACTTGTGGCTAAAGGCTACGCACAAAAGGAAGGTATTGATTACAATGAAATTTTCTCACCTGTGGTAAAACATTCTTCGATTCGAATTTTGTTGGCTTTGGTTGCTCAATTTAATCTTGAGCTTGCACAACTCGATGTAAAAACTGCTTTTTTGCATGGAGATTTGGAAGAAAAAATATATATGACGCAACCAGTTGGTTTTCGAGTAGTTGGACAGCAACATTTAGTATGCAGATTGAAGAAATCTTTGTATGGGCTGAAGCAATCCCCTCGCCAATGGTATAAAAGGTTTGATCACTTCATGGTAGAGCATATGTATACTCATAGTCAATTTGACCATTGTGTGTATTATCGATGTCTCGATGATGGATCGTTTATCTACTTGCTCTTATATGTTGATGATATGTTAATTGCTTCAAAGAGACAAGTGGAGATTGATAAACTCAAAGATGAGCTTTCTAAAACATTTGAAATGAAAGACTTAGGCAATGCAAAGAAAATACTTGGAATGGAGATAGAGCGAGATCGAAAAAAAGGTACAGTCTGGTTGACTCAGTCTCAATATCTACGCAAGGTATTGTCAAGATTTAGTTTGAATAATTCAACCAAACCTGTTAGTACTCCACTTGCTCCTCATTTCAAGCTTAGTGCTTCCATGTGTCCAAGTTCTGACGATGACAAAAGATATATGGAGAACATTCCTTATACAAATGTTGTTGGTGCGTTGATGTATGCTATGGTGTGTACTCGACCTGATCTTTCACACGCAGTAAGCATGGTGAGTCGTTATATGCATAATCCTGGTAAAGAGCATTGGCAGGCTGTAAAATGGATTCTTAGGTACATTCTTGGCACTATTGATGTTGGTATTAAGTTTCAAAAACAAGAAATGTTTAATCTTGACAATCGTGTAGCTGGTTTTGTGGATTCTGATTATGCTGGTGACTTGGATAAGCGACGATCTACCACGGGTTATTTATTTACTATGGCCGGTGGACCTGTGTGTTGGCGCTCAACATTGCAGTCTACTGTTGCATTGTCTACCACTGAAGCAGAGTATATGGCGGTAACGGAAGCTTTTAAAGAAGCTATTTGGATGTATGGTTTGATCAATGACTTGGGTATTTTGCAGGGACATATAGATGTATTTTGTGATAGCCAGAGCGCTATTTGCTTGTCAAAAAATCAAGTCCATCATGCTCGTACAAAACACATTGATGTCCGTTTTCACTTTATTCGAGAAATCATTAGCAAAGGGGATATTCGTTTACTAAAAATTGGAACTGCTGATAACCCTGCTGAAGCTTTTTGATCCCGGAGATTTTGGGCCGAAGATCAGCACAGATTTTGTCTTCTTTGGTCGGGTGGCGGGTGGAGAATTAGAAAAAGCATTCAACCCTAATTTACATAGCCTTCCTGGACACAGATTTTTCCTCGGGGCGGGCTTTCCTATCAAAAAAGAAATAGGGGATCCGGGCCTTTTTTGGGGGATAGAGGAGTACTTGGCAGCTGGTGGTGGGTTTTTGGGATGGTATGACTCGGCTCCCTGGCCCGTAGCAACCAATACTTCCCCCCGGATATGTTGACAAAGGTGGTCGCTCGTGAAAAGTTCTGCCATTGTTTGGATCTCATCAACGTCGGAAGGAAGGAGTAGTGTGTTGATGTGGTAGCAACCAAATTCGCTATCAACTTGGAAATCTTATGACAAGGTGGAGATTGTTAAGCACTGTCATAAGCCCTATTCTCTAGGACCAAGACCTATTCTCAAGGTCTTAGCTAATATTTGAAAGTCTGTTAGTTTATATTTAGGTTTAGCAGAAGGCTATATAATGCCATTCTTTCTGCTGTTGAAATCATCAAGCTTTGTGTGCAATATTGTATGCCTTGAGTAAATTTGGTGTTGTGAGTACATTTGTTCCGCTTTCGGCGCACAACATGTTCTTCTTGGCTATCAACTTAAATTGGTAGTTATCACATTATGATGTGAAAAATGTATTTCTTCATGGAGATCTAGATGAAGAAATCTACATGAGTATTCCTCTAGGATTTGTACGCTCAAGTGGTAAAGTATGCAAATTGAAAAAGGCCTTGTATGGACTAAAAAAATCACCCATGGCATGGCTTGGAAGATTCACAAAGATAATGAAAGACTTTGGGTATAAGCAAAGTCAAGGAGATCACACTCCCTCTATAAAGCACTCATAATCAAAGGGAGTTACAGTGCTTCTAGTTTATGCGGATGACATCATAGTCACTGGACATAATGAAGAAGAAAAAACTGAACACGTTAGGAAACTGATGAAAGGATTGGATCCACATTATAAATTGGGAGAGTCAAACCGAGGCTAGTGAGGAGGCTTATATATCTAACTCACTTGCCCAAACATAACATGTTCAGTGAGTGTAATTAGCCAATTCATGCGTAATCTACCGGAGCCTCACCTTCAGGCAACATATAAAGTGTTATGTTACTTGAAAGGAACTTTAGGAAAAGGAATTGTGTTCATACAGAACAATTCCCTTGCATTGGAAGCTTACACTGATGCTGACTATGCTGGATCAATAGTGGACAGATGATCTACTACTTAGTCTTGTACTTTTCTTGGAGGTAATTTAGTAACATGGAGGAGTAAAAAACAAAATGTGTTAGCTCAATTAACTATTGAATCAAAATTTCGATCTATTGCACAAGGGTGATGTGAACTCTTATGGTTGGAGATAGTCCTTGATGACTTACAAATTAAGGGAGAAGGTCCGATAAGTTGTACTACGACAACAATTCAACTATCAATATTGTACATAATCCTATCCAGCATGATAAGACAAAACATATTGAAATTGATTGACATTTTATCCGGGAGAGATTAGGGAGAGATTATTGAAGAGGATGATATGCATTAATTATGTGCCTTCATAGCTTCCACTAATAGATATACTAACAAAAGGACTTCCCAAACTCAATGTTTTATAAGTTGGTAGTTAAGTTGTTTATGAATGATATCTAGTCCTTAGCTTGAGGAGGAGTGTTGAAGGAATGGAATGACCTTGAATTAAGGACAAATCGTGTAATTTCTGGCCTTAAGTTAAGAGATATTTGTGTAATCCTATTAAATAAGGAGAGTAGTTGACCTCCGTAATTTATCTGTATTGTTATATAATATCTACACATTTATTTAGATTTATTGTTAGTTAGTATTTAGAGATTTCGTTTCTGTATTATAAAAGGAACCTCTCTCAAAATAAGAATATTTTGTGCAACTAGAGTTAATTTCTGCCTCCCCTCCATTTATTTTATCCAGCAAACTTTATTGGGGTTTGTTCTTAGATTTAGTGGTGTCTCAAGTTTTTGTGAAACAGTATTCTCATTGCTTCCACCGTCAATTTTATCGTTACAAACATTTCCATTGATATTGCATCGTGATTGGAATAGAGAATGTCTTTGCGTATATGCCTTGGTCTTAGTGGTAAGCAACAGACATTGGATAACACATGAGAGCCATGAGTCAACTTTATTGTTTCGACTTTGCCTCTAGGCCGAGTCTTTCGGTTCGACTTTGCCTCTACAACAACACGATCCACGCTTTATGATGCCATCTCAAGTCTCGAGATGTCCTCAGTTTTTGTTGCTCGCTTGGGCTCGCTTATCCAGAATTGACCCATGAGTCAACTTTATCGTTGTGACACCTTGAACATCTATCCATTCGGGTACTTTTGAGGCATGAATTTTTTCGTGTCCATGTCAAGTCCTTTATAGACACCATACAGGAGAACGACCCTATATACCAACCTTTGACTTAAGGGCTGGGGCGTTATGTTGGCACATCCATACCATTCGACACTATTCTCGAAAGCCTATTTTCAAAGGAAGATGCCTAAGATGCTTGCCCACACCATGACACATGTATGTGCCATGAGATAGCTCACTTAGGCCATAGAGCCTAGGGGTGGTGGAGAGCTAACACTATGTCTCCTCCATAGTACATTTTGAGATATTTTTGATCTGGATAGAGTAGATGTGATTTTGGTGTACGGCTATACGACCTCGTAAAGCATCCATTGGGTGTTCGATTAGCACCAAATTTGGCGAGTTTTCATATTTCATATAGATGGACTTAACTCCAGAGCCGTATGTTGAAATTCATGTTGGAACCTTAACTTTTAAGGTTATGGCCCGGTGCCTTACCCAACTCTATTCGAACATATTTATGATACTCTTGTGACCATCATTCTCTCAAATTGCTTATGCTTCAGCTTGACTTTAATGTGCACTCTTCTTGGTGATTGAATGATGCATTGTCCTCCTTAGTAGCATCATGACACTTGTATGTCTTGGTTCTCATGTGGTTAGACGGGTGCCACTTGCAGTCGCCGTCTTGTCGAACTACACGTGGGGGTCACAACCTATTATTTTCTTAGTGTGGTTGCAACACTTAGCATCAATAGGGAGTTTTCCCTTGGAGAAGGATGAGAAGGCCCAATTTCAAGGTCAACTCAAATCCACTCCAAGTTAGAATTAAACTGTCAAGTATAACATCTGAATCCTCACTAAAATCCCAAAATTCCTCTTCTAAGACATCTTTAGCCACCCCCAAAGTTCCTTGTGTGGACCAGAGGACATATTTAGGGATGTAATGCAATTTTTATGGGTCAAGCAATACCGTTTGACAAAACATAATAATTATTCTCCCTCATTGGGCTTAATGTAGGATGCTTCCTTTCTTCTTCATTACTATTAAATTGTTCTTCATCGCCAAACTTCTTCAGCCATACCAACTGATAGTTTTTTTTTTTTGTATTTATTTCAATGTCCTAGTTGTTACACTCAAAATAGTAGCCCAAAGTATGCCCATGGCAAGGGTTAGCTTAATTTTCAAGGGCTCTAGGTGTTAAATTTGTCTAAAACCGTATATCCTTATCTAGACCTTTTCTTCTTTTTACTGTGATTAATTTGTTGTAAATCTTTCCCTTTTCACAATTCATTTTTTATGTATTAGTATTTTATCATATTCATTTGCACTCTGTAATGTACTGATATGTTTTTCTTCGTTCAAATAATGATCATAATACGATTCTTTTTCATAATATTAGGAATTTGAGATTGATGTTCAAACTAGATGCAGCCGAGTATATGATGTCCATATGTGGTGACGGTGGTCTTAGGGAACTCTCGTCTCCTGGGAAAAGTGGAAGTATCTTTTACCTTTCTGAGGATGATAGATTTGTGATCAAGACTCTGAAGAAATCTGAGTTGAAGGTTTGAAGACATTAAACTAAAGATTCCTGGCTTGACTTTATTAGTTAGTGAATTCCCATACCCTTTTCCTATCATCTTTAGTGCATTTTTTTAAAAAAAACTCAATTATGATGGTTTGAAACAATTACATAAAGGTGCTACAAATTTGATTTAAATTTTTTTTTTTTTTATTGTTTTTATCTTCTATGGAAGACAAGTACAGAGTTGGTTCTTCAAAGTATAGTTTTTTTTCTGCATTGCAGTAAACTCGTCCTAAAAAGGCAATTCTACTGTGCTTGCATGAATGTCATGTCTGAAAGATGAAATTTCTTTATAAATACATTCAAATCATTCAACTTCAATGTAAATATGTTAGGATGGTACCTTGAAATTTACATATTATTGGCACCAAAAGAATGGGGGAGGACAGCAAGTTTAACTGGTCTGGTTGATAAAGTGGTTTAGAGGTAATTTTGGTTTTCTTAAGCTAAGAGAATGCAGAGAGTTGCATATATGGATAATGTTGAGGAAATATATTGAGAAGTCTACAAATTTTGGAGGACTCAATCATTGGTAATCTTTGTTAGTTGATATTTAGCATAGGGAGGGTATATGGGCTCTTGATGTCTCTTTGGGTATTTTTTTTAATGCAGACAATACAATTTCTCTCCAATAAATCCTACTGTTCTATTGCGCAGGAAGGTATGCGCATTCTAAGATTGCTTTTAGGGCAATGATCTTTGGTTGATAGAGAATAAGAAGGTATAGACAAAACTAGTTGTAGGAAGGCTTAAGGCTTTGAGGGCTGGGCACATCTTTAAGATTGGTTTGGAGTAGAAGCGTTCCGTGTTACTGAATTCTCTCTCATTGGAAATGTAACCTCCGTCAATGGCATATACTAAGAAAGCATCATTCTAGATAGAAACAAATTCTTTTCTGTGGATTTAATCCTTGCTAGAAGGACAGGTTCAGTTAGATAAGAGAATCAAATCAACGGTGGAGAAGTTGTGATGGCACAAATAATGGAACCTTGAAAGGACTTTTTTCTTTCCCATGACCTTGAAATTCTTCAAGAACTCAATAAGTGACAACAACTTCTTATAGATACAAAAATCCACCAACTAAAGGAGCTGTATAGAAAATTTGAAGTTATCATGGATAAGAAAACAAATTTCTATGTTCCTTTCAGTCCAGTTTTCAAGGCTTGCTCTTCCTTCCATGAGTGAGAGGATTAAACAAGAAAAAGGGGTGCCCTCAAATTATCTTCATTGTGGTTCGTGCTACACCACAGTAGAGGTCGGTGAATTCTTTGCTGATGTAAATTACAAAAGGGAGCTTTGTGATACTCTGCTCAATATCTAAGAATGCAAACTTAGATATAAGAGGATATTTAATAGAGTATCCTCATGTAAACAACTTTGTTATGAAGAAGATATTATTACAAAATTTGCAAGAATAGAGCAATATAATACAAGAAACATGGTCAATTGGAGTTCGATGCTTGGGAGGGACAAGAATATTACACTCGCAAGTGGAATCAATATTCGAATTTCAATTCCAGCAGTTCAGAACAATAATACAAGAAACATGCCCAATTGTTTTGGACAGACCCCTTTCTTCTAGCCTTGACATATTCAAAGAGGTTCAGCCTGTTCACCTTGGTGTTTTATTTGTTCTACCATTGATCTTGTGACTAATCGTGTACAAAAAAGTATTGGTAATGGTTTATCAACTTCTTTCTGGCATGATTCTTGGTTGAGTTGTGGTGTTATTGTGACAACTTTTTCTTAACCTTTTCAATTGATTAGTCTCCATTGTTTGGTTTCTGAAGCCTGGATTGACTCTCAAGCAGCGTAGAATTTATACTAATGTCGTGGCTTAAATAATTTAGAGTTCGCAGAATGACTTGGTCTTTCAAATCTACTCTCCCTGATCAATTTCCAGAACTATAATAATGATATTTGGATTTGGGCCCCTGATCCTTTTCGTTCATTTACTGTTAAATCTCTAATGGAGAATTTTGTTACATCAAATCATGCATTGCATAAACAGAATCTTTACAATGTGAGTTGGAAAGATGTTTATCAAATAAGATTAAATTTTCCTTTGGGAGCTTAGCCTTGGTGTAGTCAACGACAGAATTCAAAGGTGAATGCCACATATTTATCTTTCTCCATCTTGGTTTGTTATGTGTTCTTTCAATTATGAACACCCTGAACATTTTTCCGGCATCTCCTTTGCTACGAGATTTTGGAACATGATCCTTCCTGCTGCCGTCTGTTTGTTAGTTCTTTTTTATTCTTTTCACTCTCTTGTTGGAGTTTGTTTTCTTAAGCATTAGTCTCTTTTCATTTTTTCAATGAAAAGTTTTGTTTATTGTTAAAAAAAAATTAAGACCGAGGAACAAAGGATGAAGAAAGATACAAGGATGTCAAAGAAAGCAATGGTTAGATATGGGTTTGTTGAAGAAGAATTCAGAAAGTTGTGAAATTAGATGAGAGATGGTTTCAGTAGACAGTTGGAGAATTCACGCTCGAAAGAACTGGCGTACTAAGCTTTCGATCACTCTATTAAATCTAAAGCACGTCTTTATCAAGCTCTCGAACAAAGAAGATATGCGCCAAACAAAGAGAAGTTTTTGATTGAAGGATTGATGGTTTAGGGTTTTCTGCTGGAGCCATGATTTGTCTCCGCAATAGTGATCAAATGCATGCACCTATGTTGGGTAGGGCTAGTCTCTTATATGGGATACTTCTAAATCATAATAAGCTATGAACTCCGACTCGTTGGAGAATTCTCACCTTTGAGGCCACACCAAGAACCCCAATATCATTGTAAAGGGTTTAAATCTTCCAGCTCTCAAAAGAACAGCATTTTTCCTCCGAAAGAGTTATCAATTGCTACCTTAAAACACTTTTTTGTCAATATGACTAGAATGATGAGGAAAAGCCCCTGATATCAAATTATTCGGATCCATATTGAAATGGCTAATGAACTGACAAGAAATGTATGTGAAGAACTGAAACAAAGCTCCTGATATCCCATTTTCATTGTATGCTAAGAACTACTATGAACAATAAAAAACATAGCAAGTTGTCTTTTCAGGAAGATACCCATAGAGCAATGACGTCTTTTCTTTTAGGAATGATCAGATTGGTAAGAAAACATGTCAGAACCTCACTAACATCTATTTCCTTTCTGCAGGTTTTGCTCAAAATGCTTCCTAAGTATTATGATCATGTAAAAGAATATGAAAATACTCTCATTACAAAAATTTTTGGTCTCCATCGCATAACAATTAATGGTCGGAGCAAGGTATCAACTCTCTGCTATATGACTATCTTATTTTCTGCAAGGCGTGTTGGTTGGCTCCTATCATAACTTCACCTTTTTCTTATCAGGTACGCTTTGTGGTCATGGGAAACATGTTATATACAGAATTAAGAATTCACCGCCGTTATGATCTGAAGGGCTCAACTCTTGGGAGATTTACTGATGGAGATAAACCCAAAGATGTTATAACAATGAAGGATCTCGATTTGTCGTATGAATTCCATATGGACAAATTATTACGACAATCCCTTTTCAAGTAAGTTCCTACTCTTAGAATTAAATCTCTATAGGTAGCACCTGGTCCAAGTTCATCAAATATTGTCTGTATGAAGTCTAGATGAATTATATGTTTAACTGAATGACAGAGATTAAATAAGTTCTAATTTTTAACTTAAAATTATGATTGCAGTTGGAGAATGACATAAAGTTATAAAAAACATCACCCAAAAAACTGGAAACTGGACATGGACATGTACATTGACTATGTAACAACCCAAGCCCAAGATGTTGTTTTTTTTGGGCTTTTTCTTTTGGGCTCCCCTTCAGGTTTTTTAAAATGTGTCTGCTAGGAAGGTTTCTACACCCTTATAAAGAAGGCTTTGTTCCCATCTCCAACCGTTGTGGGATCTCACAATCCACCCTCCTTTGGGGCCCAGCATCCTTTCTGGCACTCGTTCCTCTCTCCAATTGATGTGGGATCTCACAATCCACCCCCTTTGGGGCCCAACATCCTCGCTGGCACACTGCCCGCTGTCCTCCCCCTTTGGGACTCAATGTCCTCGCACACCGTCTTGTGTCTACCCCCTTCGGGGCTCAACATCCTCTCTGGTACACCACCCGGTGTCTAGCTCTGATACCATTTGTAAGAACCCAAACCCACTACTAACAAATATTGTTCTCTTTGGGCTTTTCCTTTCGGGTTTTCCCTCAAGGTTTTTAAAATAGGGAGAGATTTCCACGCCCTTACAAAGAATGTTTCGTTCCCCTCTCCAATCGATGTGAGATCTCACCAAATAAGTTGGCTCAAATTAAAAAATGGAGATTTTAAATTTGTATTCCATTTCCCTTTTAAATATGTATGAATAATTGTTTAAACTTTTATTTTAAATTTCTATTGAATTTTCAACATAGCGCCAATGCCTTGTAGGTTTCAATTTTATCCTTTTTATTCTAACATTTTTAATACATTTCCACCGTTTGTATAAATAATATTTTAATGCCATTTCACCAAACCAATATTGAATTTTAGCAATTGCTGATAGTGGGACAAAAAGTAAAACTATTAAAACCTTGAGGAAAAAAGTTAATTAAGGATAAAATCACATAGCATCTTAAATTTAGTCACTTAACAGGATAATAACCCTCAACATATTTCAACAATAATATGATTTTGTCCACTTCGGGTTCAGGTGTACATCTGATGATTTTGCTTTTGGTTTTATCTCAAAAGGTCTTATACCAAGGTGATATTTCCCTTTACGTCTACAACCACAATTTTCTCTTTTTAGCCCATGTAAGACTTTGTTTGTACACCTAACAATCCTCCCGTTGAACAAAGTACTACCTATTCCCCTTCAAACATCTATCTGTCCACCTCTCTAGCTTCAACGAGTTTTTATATCTAAGCTACCTTTTTTTTCTTCCTTTTGGAGCATACCACATGTCGAGGTTAACCACAAATCACTATTACTGTGCCCTTGAGGCTTACCTCTTTTGTTCGTCACTCAAGATGGCATGCATGGACACGGCTAGGTCTAGGTCATGACTCTAATACCACCTTAATTTGAGTGAATAAGATATTAAAAGAGGCCTCTTCAATAAAAAAGAAAATCCATAACAGATGAAGAGAATAATCCCATAATAAATAAGGAAATAATCTACCAAAATAATCTTATTTTAAAAAGGAAATACAAAGAGATTCATATTTAAAAGGGGAATATCCAACATTATCTTATTTTTCCCTCCAGATGGGCAAAATGTTCACTTAGAATGCCTCGTATGTCAATGTAACATGTCCACAAGTATCAAACCATTATTTAATTCTCCTTTCCTTTTTTCTTTACCAGACAAATTTCTCTCGACTGCATGTTCTTGGAGTCTCTGCACATAATTGACTATAGCCTACTGCTAGGAGTGCATTTTCGAGCTCCTGAGATACTGAAGACTTTGTTGGAACCGCCTGCCACAGCTCATGATCATGGTATGTTTCTTCTACCTAGACAATAAACTTATGACCTTGTTCAGTTTCTACTTTTTTCTTGGTAGCCTAAGATATTGAAACGAGGCTTTTCTGGAAAAATTGTTGTGGCAGTTCTTCATGGTGCTTAATGCTTTGTGGTACAGGATCACAGTGATAAGGTATAGTCCTTAGTTTTCTAAGAGGGTTTCAAGTGGTGGTTCTAAGAGCTCTAGTAGAAACCTCTTGGTTGCTATCTCTTCAGGATTCCTTTTTTTTCCTCCTTGTGAAATGTTTTGTTGGGAAAGGCTCAAAGATTATTTTTGGGAAGATTGTTTGGTGGTTGATAACCCTTTTATGATTTGTTTCCATAGTTGTACCATGGCCTCCATCTTGCCCTCTAGTCTCTCCTCATTTCTTTCTTTTGGCTTTCTGCGCCCCTTTTCTGATAGAGAGAGGACAGAAGTGGCAACCATTCATGTGCGTCTAGGGAGGAGGAACTGTTAGGTTTCTACCTTCAACCGTTCTGTGGACTCCTTTAATTCCTTTTTCCACTTCCTGTGTAGATCCCCAGGTAAAAGTTTCCAAAGTGGTCAATTTTTTCGGCCCTATTGTTCTGATGTAGAGAACCTATGATAAGCTTTTCAGGAAATTTCCAAACGAACAATTTCAACGGAATTTTTGAATTTCGTATTTTACTATGTTCAACTCTATGTATTCTTCTATTCATAGAGTGACGGTTTTGCATGGGAGAGTCGAGACATTTGGCCAACTTCAGAGACAACCTTTTTTTCGTGTTGTGCCTACAATGGTGCATTCTTTGTTGGTGGAAAATGAGGATATTGACCATTATTGTGGGATCCCAGTTTGCTTAGTCTTAAGGGATTGATGTTTGAGCTCGTTTTAGCTACATTTTATGACATGCTTGTTTCTTTCCTATGTTGTGGGGTATTTGGCTAGAGAGGAATAGTAGGTTCTTTTAGAGGGATTGAGAGATTGTTGAAGAGGTTTAAGAGGCAGCCAAGTTTAACACATCCTTGTGAACATTTGTTATTCTAGCCTTTTGTAACTATTAGCTTGGTCATATTGGAATGAAGGCCATTTCTACCATTAGGATTTTGTCTCTTCATGGGCTATTGTTTTTCTATGACCTTTTACATTTTTTCATTGTTCAAGGAAGCTCGATTTCTTAAAAACAAAGACGATCCATTTAGAAATTTTTTTGATATATATATATATATATATATATATGCCGACGACTCTATAGGAATTATAATTAGTATGGGTGTACATCCAACTCAAGAACCCAACCCGAATTATAAGAGTTGGGTTGGGTTGGGTTTAAAAGGATTTTGAGTTTGGGTTGGGTTCGGGTTTGTAATTCAAATTATTGGGACAACCCAAACCAATCCGAAAACCTTAAAAAAAAAAAAAAAAAAAAGCCCAAGCCCATGCAACAGAAGCTCACGCAGCCCAAGCCCATGAGTCATGTTGTCCGCCCTTGCCACCTGGCGCATCTGACTCTGCTGAGTGCAAACTGTTTCTCTCTGCTTTTCAATACACGAGATTGAATTAATAACTCTTTGTCTCTCTTTCTCTGCTCTTCGATACACGAGACTGAATAATAATTTTAATGACGAAGTATGCTTTTCTATTGTTCTCATCTTTTCATTGTCTCTTTGCTCTTCGTTTTCATCGTTCTCATCTCACAGCGTTCATCTTCATCGTTCGCCTCTTTATTTCTCCGTTGACGTCATTCTCATCTCATAGTGGACGTCAACGTCACTCACCAGTCACCTCTTTATTTCTTCGTTGTACTCTCTTCTCAGTTCTCATTTCTCCGCTCAACCTCGTCTCTGTGTTTCTTGTCGGACGTTGTCGCCGACTATCTTGCCACTCGACATTCCGTTCCACTTCCGTCGTACTTCTCCGCTTGACTTCTTGTCTCTTCTCAATTTGGAACAACCTGAACCCAACCCAAAAATAGAGGGTTGGGTTGTGAAAATTTTCGGGTTGGGTTGGGTTACCAATCCAACCAACCTAAACTTTTGGGTTGGTCCAAAAAAATTCCTCAACCCAATCCACCACGGACCATGTACACCCCTACTAATTAGTCCTACGGAAATAAAGGCACATAGCACTTTGAGGATCCTGACTTCTATTTCAATATCTTAGGGGGATTTTTTTGTCTCGCTTCCTTTTGATTACCATTCTTTTTCTTTCCTCCCAAGTGGGGATGATGTTTTATTTTTCCTTTTTTTCTATTGCTATGTTGAGGAATTTTTGCTGTTAGGGAGGTCTGTACGGAGTGTTTTTGACTAGATATGTTACCGTTCCTTAAACTAATTAGTTCCATTTTTACATGGCTATCTGTATTGATTCTTGATGTTGCCTCTACTTCTGAAGTTCATATCTAAAAAAGCTGATGATACCCATCTTCTGCAATTTCATTTTCGGTGTTTATGACCATGCCTTTTATAGCACACCATTATTCCATATGTCTTTGCTCATGGCCTCCTTCCAGCAGGTGAGTCTTCACAGGGCGAGTCAACGGTTCCTTCGAAGGCCCTAATGCTTGTAACACATGAACCTAGCAATGTAACCACTGCCCCAGGTCCTCACGTCAGAGGAGGACCGTTGAAGGCATACTCATTAGGTGACAGTGAAGTTGATGTATTACTCCCTGGTACAGCAAGGTTAGTTTTCACTCGACAACAATTTTTTTTTAGTTCTGTTTCTAAGAATTAAACTTTTAAAAAACTACATGTACCTATATCTTTTTTGTTTAGTTTTTTTCTTTTAAAAAATCATTTGAAATCTTTAGCTAAGTTTCAATGACAAAATATAGTTTCTACTGAAAACTACTTCCTTTGTAGTTTTGAATTTTGGTTATGATTTTTACAATGATATTGAAAATAGATTAGAAAACAACTGAAAATGGCTGTAAATAGTAATCTACATTTTTTATTAAAAAAAAAACAACAAAAGCATTACCAAACTGGTCTTAATTTGGCCCCTTGGTACGGCCCAAGTGTACCATCGAGTTATGGTATCTCATAAGTGGAGGTGGATGTTGTTTGTGTAGGGAAGTAGAATTCTTTCTTTTGACCTATTTTGAATGATGGTAAGACTCAAATAGAGGGACTTAATACCTCTGAGTAAAGTACTCAAGATAAGATTGAAAATTTTTAGGTACTCGACGTTTATACAAGTTGTATAATAACCATTACTGCATCTATAGTCCCATAACTCAGTTATGGAGGATTTGATCCATAACTCAGAGGATAGTTCTCCTAAAACTTGCTGCATCAATGGAACCATCCTAAAACAAAAGAAGTAACTAAAAATAGAAATGAAAGTGGAGTCTTAGAACCATTGCTATATCAATGGAGCTGGGACTCTCGTGAAGGATCATCCTTCTAAATCAAGGGAAATAACTAAAAATAGAAATGTAGGTGGAGGAACTGAAAAAAAAAACTGTATAAAGAAAAATTCAACCAACAAATAGGTTTCATACGTGAGTGTTTCTTTTTGCCATGTGTGTAACGTGTACATTTGTAGTGTCATTGTATCACCCTTCTTTTTGGCAAACTTACATTTGTGTTTGGTCTTAGAATAGTTTGTGATTTCTTCCTTTGGGTATTGGCATAGTAATGTTCATTAATCTCAAACATTTTAAGAGTTAAGACTTAACTATATCTTCTAAATGCTAAATTCCACACCATAAATCTTAGAATCTTAAGAAAGCTGCAGATACTTGTCTATATTCTTTCGCTTAACACCTTGAAATTATTTTGCTTTGCAACTCAAAATACTATGAGAAATGTGTGATTCTGTGATCCTTGCACTTTTCTTTTTTTTCTTTTTACTGTTTTGATTTGATATACAATATAATTTTTATCACCTTTGTCACTTTTTCTTTTACTTAAGACACCATAATTATCATTGCTTTATGAGATATTTGTTAATAGTATTATTTATTTAGAGGTGTTGAGAGAGATCGTGGTGATATGTTCTCTCTAGTCGGGTTTTATGTTTCTCTTTGGAAGTTGTTGACGCGGTTATTTTATAATCATTTATGAGTTCTCATTTTACAATGTATTCTTTCACTTCTTTTGAATGAACTTTTGTTTACTCGAAAAGTACCTTTAAACTCTGCACTATGGTCCAACCAATTTGGAGAGAATCAATAGATTCCTTTTCGGGAGCGATTCATCTTCCCGAACGCAGCACACAACTCTCCGTTGTACTGCGCTCTCCAAGTGTCTCAATAATATTTCTAAGCTTTCAAAAGTTTCAAATACCATTCCCATTAGTTTTAAAAATTGTTAGTACTTTATTTCAAAAATACCCTTAAACTCTTAATAGTATTTTTTTAAAAGTTATATTAATATCATTCAACTTTTTTTAACAAATTTAAAAATACTTTTATCTTTAGTACTATATTTAAAAAATACCTAAAAAGTAGCATTAACACCTTTTAACTTTATAAAAAAAAATTCTTAGTGTCAATGTATAGATGAAAATTGTCTATCGACACCTCATAGATTATCTACAAATGTTTAAATGTTACCTCATTGATTATCTACAAATGTTTTAATGTTACCTCATAGATTATCTACAAATGTTTTAATGTTACTTTAGTTCATGAGTCTTTTTAAAAGTTTAAGGGTATTTTTTAGATTGTTTTGAAAGTTCAAAGATATTCTATTGAAACTATTGAAAGTTTAGAGGTATTTTTAAGATAATTGCAATGTTAATGATATTTTTTTTATTAAATTTAGCCTATGTATAAAATCCCAAACAATATTCAAATGAACTTTTGTTTTAATAAACTAAATGGTCTAATATACATTGTTCATAATGTGAATTTCTGCTTCTAGCTACGATGTAGTATATAATTAGCTGCCAGTTTCTTTACATATATGCATATCCGTGCAGATTTCGCGTGCAGTTGGGAGTAAACATGCCTGCCCAGACGAGTCACAAGCTTGTTGAAAACGAGCCGGAGTCCTCAGAAGTAGAACTTTTCTATGATGTAGTTCTTTACATGGGGATAATAGATATACTGCAAGAATACAATGTGAAAAAGAAGCTCGAGAATGCGTACAAGTCCTTACGATATGACCCTCTTTCAATATCGGTCGTGGAACCTCATTTGTATGCCGCTCGATTCAAAAGTTTCTTGGAGAAGATCTTCCATGACTTACCATGAAAATTGTAAGTAAACCATCTTGTCTTTGTGTTCTGTTTGAGTTGTGCTGTCTCTTTGGTTTGGTTTGGTTGTGCTTGTTGTTTTCAGTCATTCATTGTAAAGATAAGTAAATGCTTATACAATAAATTGACCATAACTTTATATAGCTATTTTTTGTTTGGTTACAATGTAAAACCTTTGAAAAAGATTGAATCTCATGGGAGAAATAAATTTTAAGGTGCGTTCTTGAACGTTTCTGGCTCAATTATATTATAAGTTTAGCATCGATATTTTTTTATTTGTGTCTATTTAGTTCCTTGACTTTTATGAACTTTCGGTTGAGATTAACATGTTCTAACCTTTAAGGATTTTAACATGTGTCTAATACGTTCTTGAGTTTGCAATTCTGAGTCAAGTAGATTTTAACTTGTTCGACATCTTTATCACATACATAAAAGGAGTGATATCGTATGCAAATTCGTATTGTTAGAGCACAATCCTAGTAGAATCACACACATATATATATGCATTATTTTGTAGTCATTAAGACACGACCTTAGTAGACTAACATCATGTACATTGGAGTGACCTCGTAACATTAGGACACAATCCTAATGTTACTCTATTGTGTGCTTCGTGCCATACTAGATGTGTGCACACATCTTACACATTGTAGGGCATGACCCTAGAAAAATCATACTATATAAATGCAAGGAGTGACCTTGTAACATTAGGACACGTTCTTAGTAAAATTTAATCATATATATGTAAAGGGTGACCTTGCAACGTTTAGGGCACGACCCTAGTAAAATTACGATCATATACAATACTCTTTGACGCCCAATCATGCAAGTTAAACTCAATCAAAGAAGCTACTTACTCAATTAAAGCTCGTTTCTAGCAAAATCAGGACCTTTTTCTTCTTCAAAATATTTAGAATTTCCTAATTAGGCTTTATAATTATAATAAATAGTAATACACTCGAAAAATGGAGAAAAAACAAATCGTAATGATCAAAGTGGATCAAATTAATCTAACTGTACAGGATTGATCGGTCCAACTGAACCAAATTGAATCGATCTATCTGAATCAGTCAAGCCCATTCAATTGAACTATCTCTTACCCTCGTTGACCACGACCACGCAACTTCTCGTTTTAAGGCTCATCATTGTCATTATTTCCACAGCGTTGATGTTTTGCATGGTTTTCAACCCTCGCCGTTAGTCAATCTTTGCAGCCGCCATTTTTTTGCATGTTATATATATATATTTCTTTCAAAATGATTTGTTTTTTTTTTTTTTTTTTAAATTCACATATAGAGAACCAAACAATAATTAATACAACATTCAATCTCAATCCAATCATAAAAATATTTGAAACTAACTCAAATTTAAATACATAAAAAAAAAATGTATAAACTTAGCAAAAAAAAAAAACAAAAACTCAAAACAAATGAACCAAAAGTATCTAATACAAGTAAAGAAACCGACACATGCAAAAGTAGTCTTATCGAAAGACCGTCAAAAGACATTAATTATAAGGGTGTTCGTGGGTTGGGTCGGGACATTTTTTAGATCTGACCCAATTGTTCACATTATATATTCTGTCAATTAAAACATTCATTTATTAAATAAAACCAACCCAACTTAACCCTACATATTTTTTTTACTCGGTAATTCGAGTTATTTAGGTGATTAATTCAAGTTTTTATTTCTAACAAAATAAAATGTTAATTGCGTCAAAAAAAAAAATGTATACATAAAATTAACAATAAATTCGAGTAGATTCGATTCAACTCAATTAGTTCCACGAACGGATGAATCAACCAAATCTAACCTAAATAAGTTCATAACCCAACTCAAATCATACAACAGAATTGATTAGATTTCTCCGGTGATTGAATATTTTATAACCGTAGAATTTAATTTTAAGTCCAACGAACTAAATAAGTCATCAATATTTTATCTATTAAGTTATTTTTCAATTAACTTTAAATTACACAATTTATTAAATATATAAAATGGAAAGTTTAATATTTAAATTCAAATATAATTTTTTTTCATTAAAAAAAAAACACATGAGAAAAGGAATCATAATTAATTGAAATATGTGCAGTGTCCCATAAATAATTAAAAAAAATTATTTTTTATGAGAATTAAAAAATATTATTGCACAGAAAAATAAAAAAAAAAACGAAACAGTCACACATAACCCAATATAGCCCCTGACTTTTTTAAATGAAAAAAAAATAAATGCTAATAAATTAAAAAAAAAGAACAAAAAATAAAATAAAATAGAAAATATTAAATAGAGAATATTAAGGAATATTGTTTTGGTGTATAAAACGACACTCATATAACTCATTCCCCACAAAAAGCCAATAAATTAAATACCATTTAATTAGCACCAAAAGAAGAGATAATTAACTTAATTAATTAATTAATTTTATATATTATTTCAAAGCTTTATTTGTCTAAAATAATATATTTAATGTTTAAAAAATTTAAGAGAATAAATCCAAAATAAATTTCATTTAAAAAAATAAAAAAAAACATTTCAAAAAATATATTATTTTATTTTTTGTTCTTGGTTTCTCAGAAACCGTGTTGACAGATAATAAAAATAATTAATAAATTTATTCAAATATTTTATTTTCTAAAAGTAAGTTTTATAATTCTTTTTTAAACGTTGTTTAAATTTAGGATCGAATCGAAAATAAAACTATGAAGGTTAGACGAGTTCGTGGACGATTTTGATTATTGAGTCAATAATTTTGAGAATTGAATCATAATATTATTGTTTTATCGGCTAATTTTAATGGTAAAAATGCATTACCGCTAATCTTAGGCACTGCTACAACGACATTTAATTTTTCTCGGAAACCTAATCCTTTCTCAATTAGATGCACTCGTAAGATTTTTCGGGTTTTCTTGTTCTCTTTATAAAAAAAAAAAAAAAAAAAAAAATTTGGTAACATTTTTTAAGCCCTAGTTCACTTGGTAACATTTTTCGGATTTTCTGTTCTCTTAAAACCTAATCCTTTGTCAATTAGATGCACCAATAACAATTAGATGCACTGGTAGAAGGGTCCAATCTCGATTTGGTTTGTAGACCAGCGGTTCGGTTCACTTGCTTTTGTTCAAGTCCAAACCAAACGTGTAAAACCCCAAAACCAAGCCCTAGTTCATAACCGTAATTCAAAACCCATCGATCCTTCATGCTGAAGCCAAACAATCTTAGGTTCGAGCGTGGGACGTGTGGATTGGCTTAGGTCAACGATTAATAATAAATCTCTAGTCAAAATTCAATAGTTCGATTCAAAAATCTAAGTCTTTTAATAATTTAATTATAGAACTTCATTAATGATAAAATACATAAATTGTTGAATGTTTTTCTTTGTCACTCTTTTCATTCCCCTTAGAGATCTCCAAACAACTGGATGGAACGAAATCGTTCTAGAATGAGAGACGAATGCTCGATGAACCGATTTGCACCATTAATTTCTCTCCTACAAAATTGATTCCTCACAACGCCTTCTGCCATATTCGCATTTGCTCACGACTTGTGTGACGATCTACTCAACATATTTGGACTTTGGCTATGTCGAGGATTGTGATGATCGAGATCACACAACAACGGTCACCACAAGAAAGTTGAAGGAAAAGAAAGAAGAGGCTTATTATCTCATCTACTTTTCAAGTATCGATGAAACACTTTTAAAATTTTTCGGACAGAAAGTGTTGATATTAAAATTTTCGAGAAATGTAATAATATTTTAAGAAAATAAGAATTAAATTTAATATTACAACTCTCAATGGAGGTGGAAATAGATGCTTGTTTATAAACCCTAACGAGGTAAAATGAAATTCACTTTTATTTCCTAATTTTCTATACATTCAAAAGCAAAATCTAACGTAAGCACCTTCTTAAAATCGGTCGTGTTCAACTACTAAGGCTCGAGGTCCTTCGATCGATAAAGTGAGTGATAGACAAATCGACAAAAACACGTGTGAGTCAAAAAAAATCCAAAACCCAAAAATCTATACTTACGAGTGATATCAATTGCAGCAACAATTACCTCGACTACAACTAGAAATGAAGCACGTGAGCGACGTTCTTTGATGCTCCCACACAAAAGTAAAAAATCGATAGCAATAAGCGAAACTACAAATGGGTAACTCAGTTAGCTGGTCGTAGAAGTCGATGACACAATGAGGACCTTTTCTCGAACTTGGTTCGCCGAAAATTAGGGTTTACGATTTCATTTTTTTCGTCGTGATGCCACCAAAAATGTCACCTTTTGATTCAATTTTGTTTGTTTCCCAAAACCAAATAGAAAAAGAAGGGAACCACCATGAGTCAGTTTGGGTCAAACACAGAAAAACATGGGCAAAAGTCAAAGGACAGCACAAACAAAAACATTTGTAAAAACATCCATATTTTCTGGTAACAAAAATAAAAATTCTACCTTTGACTTTTCTCTTACTTTATTTGATTGACAAGTGTTTTCCCATGCAAATAAATAAAATTTCCCATCTTTTTAATTTAAAAAAATACTTAAAAAGTCATTTCAATCGAAAACTAGGTCGGGAATCATATATCATACCTTTCTAAATTTCATCGAAGATGGAGACTTTTGTACGGAGGGATTTGGTTGACGGGAATGAAGCCTGGTCCGAGATTATATAAAAACAACCAAATAATACCATTTCGATCCAAATGTGTTGTTGATACATGAACCTCGAGCCAAACAACATTCCCATCAACCTCAACCTCTTTCTTTCGAACCCTTATTCGCTTATCGAAAAATCATAAATAAAATGAGAGAAATGTTCAAACGCGAGCTAGAAACTGAACTATAAAGTTTAGAAAAAGCACAAGCGAGGGACGAGTTCATCCGACAAATCGACCCGACCCGACACAACTCAGATGCTCAAACATGAGTCCAACATCGTAAGTCAAATCAACCCGACACAACTCCGATGGTCGAAGGAAGAGAATGGAAGAGAATGAAAGAGAGAGAAGACCATAATTAGGGTAATATAGAAAAGAAGAGGAGAGTTGACGTTGAGAAAGCCCTAGGGCTCATGACTTTATAGAGAGACGAAAGGAGATGCCCTCGTTTTTTTAACCATTTATTTAATATTTAAAATTATTTTTTTATTTTTTTAAATTTTATTTAAAAAAAAAAACAAAATATTTGTGTCTCTCAAATTTTATGGTGGCCTGAAAGTTGACGGCAACCGGCTAGGGTTCCGCCTTTCTGACTTTTAAATTTTCTTCCGCAAAACACGTCGCGTGCTTTCAACGCTTGCACTACAAGACAAATTTGACAGCTAAAGGTTTAACCTTAAAATATAAGAATAGTTGCAAAAATAGCAAAACATTCTAATATAAATTACAAATCTAGCCATAATTTTTGTAACGTGCGTTCTCTCGAGGGTTTCCACACTCTTATAAAGGTGTAAGGGTGTTTCGTTCTCCTCCCCAACCAACGTGGGATATCGCAATTCACTCTCCTTCAGGGCCTAGCATTCTCACTGACACTCGTCCCTTTCTCCAATCGATGTGAGACCGCCACCAAATCCACCTCCCTTCAGGACCCAGCGTCCTTATCGACACACTGCCTCGTGTCTACCCCCCTTTGAGGAAGAGCCTCCTTGTTGGCACATAGTTCGGTGTCTGGCTCTGATGCCATTTGTAATGGCCTAGGTCTACTGTTAGCAGATATTGTCCTCTTTGGGTTTTCCCTTTCGGACTTCCTCTTAAGACTTTAAAACACGTCTGCTAGGGAAAGGTTTCCACACCCTTAATGTTTCGTTCTCCTCCTCAACCAATGTGGGATATTACAATCCACCCCCTTTCAGGCTCAGCGTCCTCGTTGACACTCGTTCCTTCCTCCAATTGATGTGGGCCACCACAAAATTCACCTCCCTTCGAGACCCAACGTCTTTATTGACACACTGCCTTGTGTGATATTGACATTCGTTCCTTTCTCCAATCGATGTGGCCCACCACAAAATCCATCTCCCTTCGGGACCCAACGTCCTTATTGTCACATTGCCTCGTGTCTACCCCCTTTGAGGAAGAGTCTCCTTGCTCGCACATAATCTTGTGTCTAGCTCTAATATCATTTGTAATGGCCTAGGTCCACCACTAGCAGATATTGTTCTCTTTGGACTTTTCTTTCGAGCTTCCCCTCAAGACTTTAAAATGCGTATGCTAGTGAAAGTTTTCCACACTCTTATGTTTCGTTCTCCTTTCCAACCAATGTGGTATATCACAATTTTTAAATTTGCAAATATGACACCAAAAAAAAAAAAAAAAAAAAAAAA